TTTACCATTTTCTCAATTTATAGTTTATATAAATCATTAAAGAAATCAAAAAATTAAACAATATTTAATTAATTAAGCATTTTTGTTAATTTTAATTAGGTCTAATAATATAGACTCAGATGGGGCGAAAGCAATTGCTTCCGAAATAGCTAAATGTACTAATCTCTCCACTTTAAGCATCAACATTGGGTAATTTTTTACATATTTTCTCAATTTATAGTTTAAATAAATCATTAAAGAAATCAAAGAATCAAACAATATTTAATTAATTAAGCATTTTTGTTAATTTTAATTAGGTCTAATAATATAGATTCAGATGGGGCGAAAGCAGTTGCTTCCAAAATAGTAAAATGTACTAATCTCTCCACTTTAAGCCTCAACCTTGAGTAATTTTTTACACATTTTCTCAATTTATTGTTTAAATAAATCGTTAAAGAAATCAAAGAATTAAACAATATTTAATTAATTAAGCATTTTTGTTAATTTTAATTAGGTCTAATAAATTTGATTCAGATGGGGCGAAAGCAGTTGCTTCCGAAATAGCTAAATGTACTAATCTCTCCACTTTAATCCTTGACATTGGGTAATTTTTTACACATTTTCTCAATTTATAGTTTAAATAAATCATTAAAGAAATCAAAAAATTAAACAATATTTAATTAATTAAGCATTTTTGTTAATTTTAATTAGGTGGAATCAAATAGGTTCAAATGGGGCGAAAGTAGTTGCTTCCGAAATAGCTAAATGTACTAATCTCTCCTTTTTAAGCCTAAACCTTTCGTAATTTTTTACAGATTTTCTCAGTTTATAGTTTAAATAAATCATTAATGAAATCAAAGAATTAAACAATATTTAATTAATTAAGCATTTTTGTTAATTTTAATTAGGTCTAATTATATAGATTCAGATGGGGCGAAAGCATTTGCTTCCGAAATAGCTAAATTTACTAATCTCTCCACTTTAAGCCTCAACCTTTCGTAATTTTTTACACATTTTCTCAATTTATAGTTTAAATAAATCATTAAAGAAATCAAAGAATTAAACAATATTTAATTAATTAAGCATTTTTGTTAATTTTAATTAGGTCTAATAATATAGATTCAGATGGGGCGAAAGCAGTTGCTTCCAAAATAGTAAAATG